ATATTCTTAACAAGAAAAAAAAGTTTGACCATACGAATAAAAAATATATTTTCTTAAATAATTGAAAGTTTGTTAAAAGATACAACATGTATAATCTAATTGTAAGTAAGTTTATTATGAAAACAAATGCATAGTTTTTAGAAAATTTTAATATTAAGAGATACATATCCATATAATGAGAAAAAAATTAAATTAAATTTAGTGTACTTAGGAAAGATATTAGTGTCCTTGAACCTTTACATAACTTAAAGAAGACTTTACATTCTATTATATTTAAAATTGTCAATAATAAATATAGATAAAATCTAAAATTATAAATATATATATATATATAGTTATAAAGATATATTTTGCTATTCAAATATAATAGAGATTATTTATATATGAAAATAGTAACCTCTTATTTTTTAAAAAACCATGCAAAATAAATAATATGAATAGAAGATAATAATAGATAAAAAATAGATTTTAATTTTAGAAACCAAATTGGTGTGTATATATATACAAATATATATAATTTTATATTAAGAAAATATGTTAAAATATTCTAAGAAAAACTTCTTGAAATTAGTAGAACAAGGTATAAGAGTAGATTGGTATAAAAAGACATGCTCAAAAAGAAATATATATATATATATATATATATAGATATTAAATTATTTCTATTTATAAAATTTTGGCAATAGGTTTATAACGTAATTAAAAATTTTAAATCATATATTTCTAATTTTTTATATAAATTATTAAAAAACAAAAACTTATAATACTTAGGTTGTAGAATTTTAAAGACTTAGAAAATAAAATTTTGCATGTAGGTTGAAAAATCATTAGATTTATTGAAGTAAAGTTCTAACTATTTGTTTAAGAAATTTGATAGTTTTATTATGAAAAAGAATATATTTTTAATTATTTTTATTTTTACTTTTATTTTTAAAAATTACAAATCATTAACCTATATGGCTATATTATACTTATTTTGTATTAATGACATATTAGTTGTATAAAAAAATTGACACATATATATATATATATATATATATATATATAATGACTAGATATATGACAAATCTTAGGTAAAAATATTGAAAATTAATAAAATTTATATTTTTTATTTTAAAAGAATTATAAATTATTATCCCTTATTTCATGCAAAAGATAAAAAAAGAAGAAGAATTATAAGATTTATTGATATTGATTGTATTTAATACTTGGATTAAAGAAGATATACTACAAATTATGTCTTTACAATTTTTGATGAATTTTTAAGTTTAAAGACTACATTACAATCTACTGCAACACTTTCAATAATTTAAGCAAATTATATGGCTATCACAAAAAAAACTAATAAAGGAATGTGTTTAAGAAGACTTGATGGTAGATTGTGTGTAATATAAGATAAAACTTTATTATATTGTTATAATCAAAGAATTGTCAATCTGCAAAAAAATATTGTATATTATTCTAGATAGAAGACATAGATATTAGATATTATTACATTTGAGATATCATTGGTAATTGTAAGGTCTAATAAGAAATAATAGATTCAATAGTGAATATAACACCTATATTTATATAATAAGTAATAATTTAAAAATTCAAATTATACTTTGATTTTTTTGTATGTGAAATGTATTTGATGGAAGAACATCTATTAGCTTGTAGTAGAAAATACATTTATAAATACATTTAGTGGTTCAAATAAAATTTAAGTCAAGGAAAAAATTGTCATAATTATGACTATTTTATCTACTGAATATATGGATATGGAGATTTTTCTATTATTAATATTTTTTATATTATTTTTCAAAAAATTAGTAGAAGAAAATATAAATATTAGCTCTTTATTGGCTCAAAAAGCAGAAGTAGCACCCTTATAAAATAATTTAAACCCTGTTTTATAGATATTTGGAGCATTTTTTAAGCAATCCTTAAGAATTTTTATGGCTCTATCATTTTAAAAAATAGATTTATAATTATTTTTAGGATTTTAAAAATATTTACAAATTTTTTGTCTTGAGTTTTGTATACATGTGTGATTTTGTGCCTATTTATAAATTCCTTCAAAATAGAATTCTCTTACTTTTTTTCGGATTTTCTAAATGATTTTTTTTTTTTTAAAACTAAAAATCTATAAGATATAGATATTTGATACAATGATAATGTTTTTTGTTTTATGCATTTACATTCTATACGAAAATATACTAAAAAAAATACAATTATTATTAATTTTTCATTCATAAAACTAAAGTGTTTTAACCAAAAACTATTAATTAAAAATACATTCTATATATTTTAAATTTATTTATTATAATTTTTTTGTATTGGAAAAGTAGTATGTATCATCTTATTTTTATTTAATTTATTTTTTGTATTTTTTTTACTTATGATTTTTTTTATTTAATTATAATGGTAAAAAATAGAGACATTAGATTTTCATTTAAAAGAATAAATGAGATGTTTTGATTTACCAAAACAATTAGAATATAGAATCTAATTTCAATAATAATATCTCAAGAATAAAATACAATACTAAAATGCATTGATTTATATTTTTTAATTTTAATGATTTTTTATATATTGATAATATATGTACTCACAAAAATATAAAAGCATATCATATCTATATCTATATATATATATATATATATATGTATATATATATAGATAAAGAATTATTAATATTACATCCCTAATTAATATTGCTACATCTTAAGTAATGCCTGCTATAATTGCAAAGGATTCAAAGAGGCTCAACAGCCTCTGTCTTTGGTCCTGCTAACAAGGCAATGCACAGGAACAAATAGCAATTCTTTTGCATGGGTCTTAAAGAATAGAGCCTTTGGAGAGAAATTTTTTGGACTTTTATTTCTAAAAACCTGATTTTGAATTAAAAGGATTTTGTTTTAGAATCCTAATCTCCAAAATTGTCTCTCTCATATTTTATTTTTTTTCATCTTACTTGCAAGTCTATTACTACTCCATTGAAGCCTATGGTTGAGAGAGGCACTAAAAAAGTGATAGAGCAAGATTAAGCTAGAAAATAAAAAACAAAGAACAAGTTAGACAAAGAGAGAAAAAAAGATAGATAATATTAAAGAGAACAAGCTTGGAATTACATTGCAACATGGATTCTCTTCTTAATTGCCAATACAATTCACTTAAAGATCTCATCACCAACATCCAATAATTTACATTTTTTGTAGTTACATCATTGTTAAAAAGTGATCAATGAACAACAACAAAGATTAGTTCAAATGCAATAAAGAGAGGGGCATCATGTTGACAAAACTATAATTAGTACATGGCACTAACATACTCACCTCACCAATTATTCCTTTGAAACAATAGTACAATGCAATAAAAAATTGGGTTAGTGGTTATTTCCAATAAAATTGACACACATAATCATCCACAAATAACATATATGTTTGTATATCCTACAACATGGCACCTCAGTTCTTGTACATGCACACATGTTTGGAGTCTTCTTACTGCAAGAACCAAGCCAGATGTGGTGTTGATCTCCATTAGGCAAGGAAATATAAATGCATATATAATGAATGTGTATCTATGGAATACAAGAGACTGCAAGGTTGCACTTCCATTGTTACACCCTTTAGTATAATACAAGCCTCTAACTATCAATATGACTACACATGTGATATCAAAATAAATTTCTTAATGTGATTTTTCTATATGTATCTATAATTTGCTTAACTTGTAACTATCTTTATGTCTTCATGTTAGACTGTAGCTATAAGACCAACAAATTTTGTATTTCATTATTACATGCCATGGGCTTGACATTACTCTATATTTTTAAAGATAAAAAAGAAGCAGATTACATCTAGGCTTTGGAACAAGTACAAAAAAATTTTGCTAATGGAATCATACCAAAGACCTTTGTAATTGATTGCGAATTTGCACTCATGTCTTAATTGCAAATTATTTTTTTCTTATTTGTAAACCTACTATGTGTGTAGCACATCAATAAGAATGTTTTGGCATATTATGAATGCAATTTTTTTACATGGCAAATAGACAATCTTTTTGCAAAAATAGAATCACGTCATAAAGTTTCATAAGATAGAAACCATTGACAATAGTTGGAAAAGATTCAAGACAAAATATGAGGTTGGTAACTTGAATGCTGTCACTTATATTTTTGCAACTTGTTTCTGAAAAATCAATGGTGTAATTTTTGCATTGAATATGAACACAAAATCATCAAATCCATGAAATATATATATATATATATATTTATGTATTGATTATAATTACTATATTCAAAATCTTGCAATATATTTTATGTTTTCTCATAAAGAACTTCAATCCACCAACAAACAAACTAACTAACAAAAGAAAAGAAAAGAAAAGAAAAGAAAAGGTAAATAAATAAACAAACAAAATGGAAACATATAAGTTGAATATCTTAAGTTGTTTCATTTTTCCAAACACAAAAATCCAAGATCAATACTCCCAACCAACGGAGTTCTACTTTACATCCATACATTTTCCGCACCCTCGCTCGTTTATCCGCAACCAACCCTCATGCCACGTGGTTCCCGCCGCGACACTACAATAGGGGCAGCGTCAAGAAGGCGGTTCCCGCCTGACGAACCCAGATGCCAATCTTTCCCTCCAGTACACGTAGGATCAAAGCAACATTCTAAAACCCAGCTGCGATGTGAACTTGGATAACTCAGAACCGCCTTAGTGCCACCTGGCAGATGGAGAGGACGTGGGATTGCCGAGCTGGCAGCTCCGTTCATGCGCGAAGCGCAGCAACGTTGAGGGTGGTCGGGGTCATCGTCCTCGCCGTCGCCAGAGTCGTTATCGACCTCGTCGTCGTCGTCGATCAATGGCGATGTGCCGGTGGGATCGATCAGAGCAATCAGCACTGGGCTGCAGTGTCCCCTTCCTCGTGGAGCTTCCCTTTTTCCGACGCTTTTTGTTATCTCATCACTCCTTTCTCGCAAAACCGTCTGGGACCGTTGACGCAAAGGGATCGAGCGGCTTCGCCGCCAGAGCTTTCTCCACTCAGCTACGACAACTTCATCAGCAATTCCACTCGATCCAGTTTCAAATGAGTTTTGGAAGAGTTGGAGACGAGCTCGAGCTTCTGTCAATGAAGTTGCTGGTTTCAGTCACGTCGTGGAGTGACGAGATCGGGTGTGAGTGGAGAAGGTAGTTCGGGTTTTTTCTGGTTGCGGATTTTCGTGTAGGCTAACGGAGGCGACAGGGTTGATTAGAGGAGCTGGGTTGGAGCGAATTGGGACTTGTGATCTGTATTTTTTTCTGCAGCAAAGGAACGAGATAGGTACAGGAAAGTTTTGGATAGGCAGTTGCATTGTTGCTATCGGTGAGGAAGCGCAGGCAACTGCTGCAAGCAATTTGCAACTGAAAGGTCAGCTTCCTTGCGCTTTGAAGGAGTCTCGGTGATTTTTTGTATCGGTGTTCCGTGCCGCGTGGGCTTTGTGTGTATTAGTTTGGAAAGGTGATAGACGTGTGAGTAGAGTTTGTGGATATGAATTATGGGCTGGTCAATTCAACATCTTGTGAGCTGCACGGGAGTTTGGGGACTTGGGGTCAGTTTTGCAATTTTGGTGCATGGTTTCATGGATCTCGAGCGTGAGGGATGGCTTTGCGTGTAACCAAAGACTGGTGAAATCGAAGCCTGTGGCTGTATGTGTCGACTCAAGAAGGAAAGGCCACCTCGGTTGTATTGAAACTAATATTCTATTTTGTTTCCAGTTTTTGAGGTGTATGGTGGAAGGTGGAGCTACATTTTGTGCAAAATTTTGTGGACCAAGTTGTGTTGCGGAGGATGAGTTTGCAGTCTTGTATATACTCGTTTTCGAATTAGCTCAAAAGAGGAGTTTGACGACATTAACAAGTGGTGAAGGTCAGGGTTAGAAGATTTCGAGCACTGGGAAATTTAGCGTTGTTGTCTGAAGACAATAACATACCAAGGAGCTGAACGTGGAAACGAAGATATTTTGGTTGAAGGTCTGGCATGAAATTGCCAACGAAGTGAATTTATTGGAGTAGTGTTTTCTAGGAATTTGAAGTCGAAAATGTTCACGATGCCAGCAGCTTGTGAGTTTTGCAGCGAGGCCTGTGCAACTGTGCACTGCCGAGCGGACTCTGCTCGACTATGTCTCACATGCGATCGGCATGTCCATGGTGCAAATGCGCTTTCGAAGCGGCATCCCCGTACTTTGCTGTGTCATTCATGCAATGTTCGTCCTGCAGTGGTGCGCTGCTCATCTTGCCACTCGTCTTTCTGTGAAACTTGCGACGACAATAAGCATAAATTCGCTTTGGGTACCGATCAACACCAGCGACATAGTTTTCAGTGTTTCACTGGGTGTCCCTCTGCAACCGAGCTTGCTATTCTGTGGGCGTCTCAGGCCAATGAACCTCGTAAGCGTGCCGGAGATATGTTAACATCGTCATCTTCCAAGGAAGGCGTGCAGTACTCATTGGAGTCAAGAAATGGAGCTGTAGCACCAAACCCAAGTGCTCGCTCCGGCGCGAGAGGGAGCTGGAGTGTCGATACGCAGAGAATGGACGATAACTCAAAGATTGATGCTAACATGTCTGGCTCAGGGCCGCCTCCACCCCTAAAGGTAATTCTTCTTGCATATTCTCGTTCGATCCCTATGCATCTCACTTGTGCTGTACAGAGATGCGGTTTCATTCATGAAACCAACTTTGGCCTGATATTTTTTGATATCAGAAATTGGTCTCCACAATCACTACTCAAGAGTTGGGACATGGGAGAGAAGTATTCCAACAATTAGAGAAACTGCGAGCTCAGGATCCAGCTCCAAGCACCAAATCGAAAATCCCTGTTTCACTCTATAAATCCCATCCTTCGAAAATCGTTTTCGAAAAGCAAGAGTTGCTCGACCATCATGCGGTTCCTGTTCGTGAACACTCGGATCATGAGCCCGCCCAAAGCTCCCTCCCCGTGGTGAACAAGGCAAACAAAGGGTCAGTGGAAGCTCAAGCAGTCAAGTTGGAGGTTGAAGCTAATGACAACCAGGGAGGCACGGATGCGTTCTGGCGCAGCATCCCCAGCAATCAAACGAATCAGGTTTAACTCTCTCACACTTCGGAACTATTGCACAAAATAAAACCCATCCATACACCTTCTATGTGCTTCATGCTTGGGTCGCATGTTGCATGGTAACGGCGTTGGATTTCATTCATTTGCGATATCTTCGAGATCATACTCTCTCCCTTTAATTACTGACATCGAGTCCTTGCGGGCAGATTTGGGGTCAGAACATGCAAGACATAGGAATGTGTGAGGAGGACGAGCGTGATTTATGCTCTGGGTTTAATATTTCTGATGTGAATCTATCATTCGGAAACTACGAGGACATATTTTCAAGCACTCAGGACCCCACTGCAGCAACTTTCCCTGGCTGTGTGCCCATGAATGAAGCCACAACGAATTCCTCTCAGATGCAAAGCATCCCTGAGTCAGACATCTTAAGACCTCTCACTGTAAGACCCTGCGATGGACCAAGACCCTTGCAATTCTTGTAATTAGCCATGACTGATTTCTTTGAAATCAGTCTACATCCTTGACGATCTATTTAGCCGAGGGGTTGAGGGTTGCGGAGGTATTGCCGGGACCGGAGTGGTCATACTCTTTCGTTTTTTGTTGTGCTTTGCAGGGTAATGACCAGTCCAACTTTCAGGATGAGTTAAAGGGGTTAGCGTTGGGTCCAGACCCAGTTGAAGGAGAAGCCGGTGTGCATTTAGGGAGGAAGACTCTGGACGACATGGATATGAGTAACATGGTCATGCAGTTCACAAATGAGCTAGAGAATTCCGGCATGTCTTTAGCAGGTTCTGGTCCCAGTGGGGACAGCAGCGACTATGTTGAGTGTGATGCATCATCCGTGGTCCTTGCTCCCATCACATACACTTCTTTGGGCTCCGGAAGCCCAGATAGTGTAACATTTGCTCAAGCACGAGACTCAGCCATGCTCCGCTACAAGGAGAAGAAAAAGATACGCAGGTACCTCGACTTCCTCTTGTTACCTCAGCTGATTAATCCTAATTTCCATAGTTCTAGTTTACTTTACTACCCCCCAATTATATTCATGACTAACACTACGACACTGCAACAGTTTCGGCAAGAAGATTCGATACGAATCCCGCAAAGCTCGAGCAGACATCCGCAGAAGGGTGAAAGGGAGGTTTGTAAAAGTGGGTCAAGCTTACGATTACGATCTAGCGATTCCCTTCTAATGGTCCTAGAAACACACGAAAATCCTCCCAGAGATTTCATTTATTAAAATCTCATGATGTAAATGCATCGCCTGTCGTTCGCATTCTTCCCGGATGTCTACCTCTTCCTGTAGCAAAGGTTTAGACAAAGCTGTGATGCACGCTAGGTGCACTGTCAGTATAACAATCTGTATTGGCATGTGATCGATCACAGTGAGGCTGGTTGATTGTTATCACAAGCAGCTGCGGTGAGTTGAGCATGATGAGGCGAGGTGGTGGAAACGAGTGCTGACAGATTGATCATATTCATGGTTGTACAACATACAGACAACAAATTGGTAGACACGTGATTTGATAACTACATCCATGTTCGACAGAGATGGTGGTGTTTAGCATGGAAAAGTTTGCAAGGTACGATACCGAAGATTGACATGTAGAGTAAGAAGGCATGCCTACAGCGGCAATTTTCTGAACACCGACAGTCTAGAGATGAAGCTGATGCCGCATCAGCTGTGGGTAGTGTGTGCACCAAGTGCAGATTTTTATTGATATATTTTTTGGTCTCGTTGATGATGATATTTATATCTTATTATTTTGTACACTACTAGATCATTCTGAAAAGTTAACATAGCAGCTGAAGGCTTTAGGCAGGACTGGAGTTTGAGTGAGCTCCATCACTGATCCTCATTTTGTATTGGCTCACTTTAGCAACGAAGATTGTTTCCCATTTTGTTGTGAAGACTTGCATCTGTGCTTTGCTTATACATGCCTGCATTTGTCTCACGCTGGTGGGTTTTTCCTGCACACTACCAACAAGTTGCTTGTTGTGAGATTTTTGTGCATGTTTTGGCTTCTATTTTCTCTTGCCAATCGCCACAACCAATATGTACTACATTCATTTCAGAAGGTCAAGTGTTGGGGGTTGCTTCAACAAGCATTGTGAAAATTTGCAGATATGTAATGATAGATGTAAAAGAATCAAAACTGATTTATGAATGGGTTGATCCAAACGTTGTAGAACTTGTGGTAATTTTCATCAATCTCCTTGTGTCTACTTAGCAATCAACTTCATTTTCAATTATTTCTTTATTTAAATTGACCAAATAAAATAAAATAAAATTTGCAAACTTTTTTAAAACCATTGTCTTTGTATCCGTATGAATACTTCATGTTATTTCAGATAAATGCATAATTAAACTTAATTCAACCTATTCATAAAATAAGCATAAAAACTATGGATTTAGATTCCTTTTAAAATCGTTTGAAATTTATTTTTTATTCAGTCAAAGTGTGTTTATCTTCGACTAGCCAGGAAAACTACCTTATGGAAAAATATAAATCTTCATCATTTTGTGAAAACCTTTAGGTTTGAAAAGCATTTGTATATTATTCTAAAGGACTTAGTACAACAGTACACAAAATGATTGGAGTACAAAAGTGTAGAATTCCCAAAAAAACTTTGATATTCTAATTTACACAATTATATATATATATATATATATACATTGCTCACCAAATATTACCTTGTGTTGATTTTTTGAATACTAATATTTTTCCTAAAGATGGAGTGGAGATAAACTAAAGAATGAATCTGACAAAATAAAATTAAACACTCAAACAAAGAACAAATACTACCTAATCTTTTGAATTTATTTGAGACAAGAACTCAATTTCTTTTAAGGAAAAAATGTGATTTTTTGGAGAAAAAAAATTATATATATATATATATATATATATATATAAGGTTCTTATTAAGTAAAATTTAAATAAATCAAAAGTAACAAGTGTGAGCAGCTATTCTAAACTTTTTACTATTTAAGAGTTAATTTAAAATGAAAAAATAGCAGACAAGACATCTTAAAATTTTATATTATTTTTAAGATAATTTTTTAAAAATATTAAAAACCATAATAATTAGAATCAAAATAAAAAAAATTTATGGCTTGAGGTATTGCGAATTTGTGGGAGAAAATGAGTGAATATGACTTTTGAAGCTTGAGGATAAACCCTTTAATTGCTTTAATTGTCAAAATTAATTTCTAACAAAAAATTAGATTAAAAGTTAAATGTATCACTGGTTTATTGCTTTAAGGCCTAAACTTTATGTTTTTTGCTGCCTCATGTTGCCATAATATTATCGTCCATTACATTAATTTAAAGAATCAGTATAATAACAAAATCATTCTTGACAGATGTTTTTGGTGCAATGCTAAGCAGAGATCAAGGGAGTAGATCTTGTGGAGACGGTGTAAAATTAAAAAAAATTACTGTACAGAAAAGTTAAGTTGGTAAATAGAAAGAGATAAAGTTGTTGATATTAATTGATTAACTTAATTGTTTTAAATGTTCTACAAGAAGTTTGGTTTCAAAAGAAATTTGAATTTCAAGGTTGTGCATAATGTATTTATTTGTAATACTTCATAAATTAAAAATTATCAAAAGTGTTAAAAGAGTGTTTACATATATGAATAATTCCTATTAGACATTATGTGACTATCTATGTGAAGAATTGAAACTGCATTACTTGTTGATAACTTATAGCCACCATATTAACTAATAGTCAACATGTAATTATTGCTATGTACTAGGTCACTATGCAACCTAACAAGACAAGTGTCTACATGTCAATTGGACCTTGGTAGCTAAGCTAGTTGTTAATGTATTCACACTAGAAAGTCCATGTCAATAGACTATAGACTTGTGCTATTAGAACTAAAACTTAAGACTCATTTCAAGCAATGTTGTGTAGTAACACAGCTATTACGTGAAAGAAGAAAGAAAGTATTTTATTATAGAAGAGCCTAATTAAAACAATATAGTAGAAAAACATAAATAAAAGATAGGCAAGTAGTAAAATCTTGTAGTGTTAGAATTACCTTTTATAAAAAATGGGTTCTACTTATTTTATACATCCATAAATAAGACAAAATAAGGTAGATTAGAAAAATAAAGAATATTGACATATGTAGGAGGACGTTAGGAGTTGATTTTAGCAAAAATTATCTCAAGAAAACAAGAATTGATACTTGGAGAGGAAAATTTGCCAACCAAGGTCAAAATCAAACCCAAAGGCATAAAATCAAGCATCTACGTCATTTTTGGGGTTCTTTGGTTGATTAGAAAGTGAGATTTGAGACCAAACCATATTAGACTTTTTTGAGTGTTAATTTTGAAGGATTTGAATTTGTAATGACTTTGTAAGAGCTTTGCAAAATCAAGGTTGTTTTGGGTGACTCTAGGCTTTGTGAAATAAAGTAGGATTGACATTTTGGGCAATTTCATGAGTTTTGTAATAGATCTACAAATAAAAATTTATTGATTTGTTAGTTGTGTTAAATGTATGCTATGAATTTGAGCTTAATTAAACAATAAGGTTGAAGGTTATGGAAGTTTGAAGTAGATTGAGGTCTTAGAAATTGGAATTTGCAAGTCAATAGGAATTTCTGAGATCTTTAGCAATTTGTTAATTAGATTGAAGTGAAAATTATTTTTATGGGTAGTAGACTTGATTTTCAATATTTATATGAATTTTGAAAGCAATTCAATAGTTTAGGAAGGAGATATTGGTGCTAAGAGCTTGCTATTAAGGTTGGAGAAAGAAGCCATCCAACATCCAAATGGATTATTTGATATTTCTTTCAATTGGTATATGCAATTATCTCATTTTCTTGTGCTTGTTTCTAATTGAGTTTTTGAAAAGTGTGCAAATTTTGAGTCAATATCAATGGTTCAATCATTAGTTGTTGAAGTTTCAATTTGTTGTAGGATTTGTTAAGAGTTTGTTTAAGAATTAGAGTTTGTTTAGGGCTTGGTTAGGATTGATTAGGAATTTGATTAGGATTGGTTTAAGATTTCATTAGGGCTTGGTTTAGAATTTGGTTAGAATTAATTTAAGATTAGTGTAGGATTTCATTAGAATTTGTTGAGGATTATATTAAGATTTGATTAGGATTCAATTAGGGTTTTTAGTTTTAATATTTCTTTAAGATTTTTTTGATATTTCTTTAGGATTTTTTTATTATATATATTTCTTTAAGGCTAATTTATGATTTCTTTATGTTTCTTTTCTAAGTTTTTTAAGACTCATTTAGAATTTAATTAAAGTTTGATTATCATTGTTATAATTTAATTGGAGTTTGTTTAGGATTCTATTAGAGTTGTTAAGATCTTGTTGCAAGCTTTATTTTATCTTCTATAGCTAAGTGCCCAATGCATTCTCAAGCAATCTTTACAAAATACAACAAGAGTTATTTGTCTTGAATTTTCAATGGTTGGATAGTGAACTCATATGTATTACACATGATTATACTTCTAACCTATAGCAATACATATTTCATATTTGTTGACAAAAAGGATCAAAATTCAAAATTCAAATCCTCTCTTAAATAATAGATAAATAAACTAAACATTAAACAACATAATTGAAGGATAGCTAAGGTTTTGGATCAAGTTATGAGAAGAAATTAACATATTCATAGGCCATGGAAAACATTTTTTTTAAGAAATCAATGATATGTCACGATTAAAACCATCCAATTGCAAAATATAATGTATAGTATAAGCTTTTGAGGTTTAACGAAAGAAGTTCTAGAAATTTTATGAAAGATGGTGGAATTAGATATTTGAATATTTGAACAAAAAAAATGCACAAAACATATACCTATAAATATAATAATTTATTTATTGGACCTATTGATAAATATTGACAAAAGAACATGTACGAAAAAACACATTTTGAGACTTATTGAGATCAATGGGACTTACCAAGTGTGTACAAACATGAATCACCAAGGAAGATTGCATCGAATTTATCCACTGGCTGTTGAATTAAATAATACTAGATACAATCTTTCTTGCTGAATATTGAATTAAAAATACTGGGATACTTTCTAGATAATATTTTTTGTAAGTTGAATATTCCTGGTATCATAAGTATTCAGTGGACATAAGAGGTGGTTGTACAGCATCTTATTAATCAGTTGAACAGTTGTAAAAATGATCCACAAAACAAATTACCACATTGCTCTTGCCAAAAACAATCTGAAAGTGTTATAGATAGTTATACAAAGTCAAAGCAGTTTTAATTTGTAACAATACTTGTATATATTATGATAAGTAAAATCAGCTATTATTTCAGATTTATCATTTGTTACTAGTATGAATAAGAAACGATCTGAAAATTTAGTATGCTAAAGTTTCTGAATAAGTTATAAATAAGTAAATATAAAATCAATATTCAGAAAATGAAATAATCTACAAATAAGTAAAGAATTTAACTAGCAACACACAAGAACAATGAGAAGAATGGTGGTGGAACAGAAACTTATAATCTACCAAAAAAATGATTAAAGTACAAAATGTGGTGGACAAGATATCTAAATTATCCTATATTTAATATATAAATCCACATGAAATGAAATTATCATGATTCCATCCTATTCTTTGTAATTTTACTAATATATTTAAATAAACAACACCTTTCAAAACTAGTCATAAATGTAACTGAACAGTGTGGCATTTAATGACATATCACATCATTAATTTATTGAAGTATGAGTAAAAACAAAGACAAACACTTGCACACATTTTGAGAACTAACTACTCCTCTGGTTTGTGTTATTCGTTTGTTAGCTGATTCGTTCACCACGATGACAGAGTATGCTATTGTTCTTTTAAAAGAGGAAAAAATATGAGTCAACAAAGGATGGGTTTGACTTGTTGGTATTTTCCATCCACTTATAAGCGCCGCATTGTATGAGACAGGCAACTATGACCCGCATTCATCCACACCTCTAGTTCCTCACTTTTCTCGTGTCTTCTATTACGTGCTGTTGACCTTATAACACTGAATTAATCCAAATTCCTATTATTATAAGCATTAGACTCAAGGATTAGTAATGAGAGGATACTATTCAGAGTAGGTATGTATTGATATCAACTCCTTCTTCACCTCTAATTATTCTACTGGCCACTATTAATAACTTAATGCCTTTGTCAACTTAACCCTGTCTAGAACCACTTTTGACCCCACATATTTTTTTAATCAATATAGGGAAATGTTGAAGAGGCTCAGGCTTTTACTAAATATACCCACCCATCATGAAGAACATGGGAACCATATCACCTCTGCAACATTAATGAAGAAGAATATTACATTTGGCATGTGACCCATATTCCAATTGAACTTTGGAATTTTTAACATTTGGTATATGAATACTTGTATGTATATGTGTAAAATTGAACATACTTACACACAAATGAAAACTGAGGTGTATGGGTAGAAGAGCCCCTGCCAACTGTACCACCACTTCATAATACACAAGAGAATTTGAGCAAATTTAATTGGTGCCACATTATTCATGTGGTTCAAAGTATTGTATTTGGGTACATGCACATTTAACTTGAATGGGATTGAGCCTTGCAAATATTGAAAAGTTTGTTATCATTATGCAATTGAAAATTGTAAAAACAAAAAAAAATAAAAAATAAAAAAAATCTTGCATTCAATTTTTATTTTTTTTAATTGTAAAAAAAAAATTGATATCTCCTCGGGCAATATGAATTACTTGGAGTCAAAGTGGAGCTACAAAATGGACATGTAATTAAACTAGCTAGTGATTTGGTAGGCACTTTGTATAACCTCCACAACTCATATCTGGTATGGAGTACAATGGATGAATTTATCACCAAGATGGATGATTGGATCCCTACGTTAGACATTTGGGAATGTTGCAGCTTACAAATTGAGGTTGTGGATCTTCAATAGTATCTAAGTGGCCAAGCAAAGCATGTTATATAGTGCAGGGAGTTTGTGAATGTAGACATGGCAAGCCTGGCCATTAAGGGGGATGAAGGTGTAGTGGATGCTGTTATATTGTGATATGATTATATGGTGAAAATATGACTAAAAATGATTTTTAATTAATATTCTATTATATTAGTTCAACAAGAATTCAATATATTTTAATAAGGCTTTTATAAAAGTCTCTTAGCCTATTTTCTTGTTTTAATAGCAAGTAGATAAAAGTTAATGAAGTGCTAAGAGCTTGTAAAACAACCTGCCATTATCTTAGAAACGGATATGATTAACACCATACTCCTCTTCTAATGCAATGGAATATCTCCATGTACAAGACACATAGGTGAAAATACACCAATTAGTAAAAATATTCTTTCCAATTACAAAATAAAAATATGGAGTAAGATACCATCAAGTTCTATTGAATAGCTATAACGGCAACAACAAATTGCTCTTTGTAGAGACAATAACAAATGATAACCATGTGTCAATTTATAAGATGCAACCAATTGAAGCCATCTAACTTCTTAGCTAACTTAGGTGTTCAAGACTTGACAACAAGAGATACAACCACAACAAATTAGTTATGCAAAAAATGGATTTCTTGCAAAATAAGGTAAGTCCACTAAGATGTTGTCATGGCCATGCCAAATTGTATAATAATAATAAAAAAAAAAATACCTAAAGTTGTCAATCTATCCATTTGAGCAAAAGCTGTCAAGTTATCTAAAAAAAAAATACAACAACATTTATTTACCCCAAACCTTAAATACACTAATAAGTTATTTTTATTCTCATTAGATTCATATTTATTTGTCTGTTGTAAAAAGAATCAACATTTAAACTATAAATTTTTTCACTTATTTTCTAAATTTTCTCCTTTATTTATTTATTATTAATTTTACAAAACGAGGTTAAAAGTTTATAACTTAAGAACAATCTTCAAATAAATATTATCAGTTAAGCAAGGAATGTTAATTAAGGGATATGAAATAATGAAGGGTACTTTTGTATATATATATATGTATATGTATATTTAGATTGCTTTCTATACATGTATATACATACAAATGAGGTAACCAACACCGCAACGGGATTCTATAATCTACCAAAAGTTACAACTTGTTACACAAGGAACCATTTAAAGTTGCCTCTTATCTTATCACACCTTCAAAATTAGCAACAACTGTAACAAATCGTTTGAAAAAATCAAAACTATTTCCACTAATCCGGCGAAGAGCAGTAAAGTAGCACCACTCTACTTGGGAGGGTTTCCCGCAGTTCTGGGGGTGACCCCATTACCAATGCCGCAAGATGTTGCCCCTGAATGACGCTTTGCGTATTAAAAAAAGAGGACCCTGATGAAAAAGCCAGACTATGCGGAGTTTCATCCCCATCCGCTCAGTTCTACTGGGTACAATCATGCCGCGGGAGATGGAGGTCCCGTTCCCTCTGCCATGTGAATGAACAATCCCTGCCAACCCCTGTTGAACTAACCTAACCAGTGCATTATTAAAACGTCCACTAGTTCATGGTGAATCAAGGTGGGTTCATATCGCTGACCTCTGTCCGATCACCTCACTAGAAGTTCAGAATCCTGCTTCTATTTGGGACAGAATGGGAAAACGTGATTCGCAGCTCTCTGCCTTGGATACGGCGCTCAATTGCTCTGCTGCCACGTTTCGCTGCTATTGTTTTTTTTTTTTATTTCCCCTCAAATTAAAAAACCAATAGCATTTAGTGCTCGCCATCACGCTGCAGCGCAGTTTACTTCCCAAGCAGGAAAAAAAGAAGAGGTTCTCGTCACCATTTCTCTAGTTAGGTTTTTCGCTGTCCGATGCGAAAGATGAGTAATTGCTGGCATGTGTGCGCAGCCTCCAGTTCAAGTTGTGAAAAAGAAAGCTTGAATTCTTAACGTCATTTTGCCATAGAAAGTTGTTCCGACTGGAAAGGGGAAAGGGAGTCATTCTTGCGAATGCTGTATGTAATGTTGGATCATTTCGTCGTTTCAGATGGACATGGTTGTGTGGGTAATTCATCCAATACGCCGCATTTGTCGACGTTTCTTCTAGGAAGATCGCAATGGACACTCGCCGCAATCCCGGAGAGCCTGGTAAGCTAGAGCTATTGCTTCTGGAACGTGGCTTTCGGCGAGACCTGGACCTGGACCATGCCATAGATCGGTGGTCTTCGACTGCATTGGTCCCTCCAGTCCATGACAACCCCTGTCGTTGGATTCTATTTTGCGGATCTTTCAGGAAGCAGGGTCATATTTGCTCCGCATGCATACTAAGCATGTGTGTATGCCCCTCACAATAGATTCTCGAGGTCGATGGTGGTGGCGCGTAGCTAGTCTTGGTTCTGTAGCATCTGGCGGCTGGGTTCTTGTGAGCGAATTTTCCTCGTAATCTTCCTTGAGGCTTCTCACAACTGTGAATCCTCTGTGAAGTTTGCTTCAATATCATCTCGCAATTGTGGATCTACTGCAGTTCTGTTTCGCCCTTGGGTTATCCTTCAAGATATTACAGGCTGGAGACAGGGAAGTGTGTCTTGATGTTAGATACATTAGTGTATGCCTCGCGCAGTTCGTGCAATTTGGGGTAGGCGGTGTTTTCTGGATCTCAGTTGACGGGAAGGATCCTTCGAGTCACTTGCTGCTGGGGTGAGTTTTCCCCCTCAGCCGTTTCAAAGACATTTGAGTAGTTTTAGAGAAAAGGCCTTGTCTGTGCGTGCGAGGTTACACGTGACAGCGATTCGTTGCCGGTACGCAGCTGAAAATTTGACAGGGAAGCTCGTCGTTTCGTTCCGCATGTACCAGTGTACCCCCCTGACAGTGTACATGCATGGGGCAGCTTCTCGAGAGTTCTAATGCACAGAAAGCGACCGCATTTAAAATATGAAGACGAGGTAGGCCGGTCGATCGGGTTGTGCGCTCTGAATGTTCTTGCAATGTACTCCTTGTTGGAGTTGGCGAATCAAAAACGCGGTGAAACAATGTCCTGTGGTAGCCTTTCCATTGTTTAAATGTTAACTGCGTCACTGGTTGTTCATTGCAGCTGAACCTCTCCGTAAAGCTTGCAAGATGTGGTTAAAACATTCAAATTACTGCTGCATCGGCTTGTTCCGTCTGAGGAGCTCGCTTTCTCATAAGAACAACAGCGCCGCCCAGACTGCGATCAAACCTATCAGTTTCTGCTTCTGAGTGTATCAGACATCACAGCGCATTTGGTACTTTTTTTCGAATCACGCAATTTGTCTTCCTCGGCGTCTCGTCTACTTGCTCTCAGATATGCGAACGACAGCAAGCGTGGGAGTACCTCAATGAAGGGAAAGATCTTTTCGGGGGTTGGGCAGAAATGATGAGTATTTGGTAATCCGTCACCCATTCTAAACGATCCATGGTATGCAGTTCAATCAGTATCGTAATCGTGAGGCTGAAGTGCACAATACCAGGCGTGTTAGTACTTGACGTTATGGATAGAAAGATGGGTGACAAGTATACAACTCGAAGCGGGATCGCGAAGGGGCCTCTTAGCACCGCGAGGTTGAAGATCTTGGTACCGTTCTGTCTGATGGTGTTCGTCGCATGGAATTCCTCGTCGATGGTGCCCTTTGGCCGTTCGAGCAGTGGGCCGACCTATGGCATGCCGGTTCCAGAGTACGAATCCCTAGGTGTTAACACGATGCAACGGCACAAGGTACGTTTTATCATGTGGAATCCGTCTGTGAGATCTGATTTCTTCTTTTCCCACTGTTACATGCATGTGTTCCGGATATAACTGGATTATCACATCATACTGTATCGGAGATGGATGGTTAAACTATTCACCCCGCTCATCTTACCTGGAACTACTCGATTCGATTGGTGTAGCAAATGAGTTCTTGTACAGTTGTAGACTCAATTGCTAATTTTGATACTAAGCACAAGTCTAATTCCCACTCATGCCTTATTCGGAATCTAACGGTCTACCACAATCTATCACCAACTCTTGTAGAAAAGCAGTGGAGCCCTGGATGGACTAGTTGATGTCGGTCTAGCTCGGTTCCACCCGCGCACAGACGTAGTTACAAATCAGTTTGACATCTCCATGACCTTCAAGCCCACATCTCAAGTACACGACGAGCCCAACAGTGTACACCCATCAATTAACAATGGTGCGCAGTTTAAAATTGAAATCACCTCAGATGAAGAAGATAAAGTGGTAATTGCACAATCCAAGTACGACGAAGGTGGGAGAGAACATGACTCAACGCAATCTAAAGATTGCCGAAAAGAAGACTCTGGAGCGATTGCGCAGCACGGAGCAGATGGAAATGCGCAGACCACTGCAGAGTCTAATCAACCAGATCGAAATGAGGGATCTTCTGTGGCACCTGATACCATCACTGGCAACCTCAGCTCTCCTGTCAACATAGCTGCAATGGAGATTTTTGATGAGATTAGGTCAAGGTCGTTGCCGTACGCAACCACGATTTCTGAACGATCTGAAGACTCATGTCAAGGGAAGTACGTGTATGTCTATGATCTTCCCCCGGAGTTTAATGTGCATCTTACCGAAAGATGCGACTCCATGATTCCATGGTTCAATCTCTGCGACTTCTTCGCGGATTCGGGAATTGGTAAACCTGTAAACTCAATGGATAACGGCACCCAAATCTTCCTCCCCGCTGATCGTTGGTTCAGCACACATCAGTACGCTCTGGAACTTGTCTCACATGCTCGAATTATGAAGTACAAGTGTCGCACCGAAGATCCTAACCTCGCTAATTTGTTTTACATCCCTTACTATGGCGGTCTAGATGTGATTCGGTGGCACTTTGACTTAAACGCTACGAACACCAACCGTGATGCCTTGGGCTGGAAGCTTGTGCGATGGCTTGAGAAACAGCCATCCTGGAGACGACGAGGAGGGCTCGACCATTTGCTAGTGTTGGGAAAAATATCTTGGGATTTCCGGCGTCAGTTGCGTGGCAACTGGGGAAGCAGGTTGTTGGAGTTTCCTGAAATTCAAAATATGATGAGGGTTATGATTGAGCGCAACCCCTGGAGCAAGAACGACATCGGAGTGCCTCACCCGACGTACTTTCACCCGAAGTCGGCTTCCGATATCGACACTTGGCTGCAGCATGTGAAATCGCAGGAACGAACCAGTCTTGTTGCTTTCGTCGGGAAAGAGCGCCGCAATGACCCTACGAACGTACGAAGCGCACTCGTGCGGCAATGTCGAGGTGCATCCTCAGAGGCCGTGTGCCGCTTCGTTGAATGCAAGAAAGATCTCTGTCAGCATCCTGTTTTCGTGACCAAGACCTTCGTGACGAGTCAATTCTGCATGCAGCCGGTTGGAGATTCCCCCACTCGGCGTTCAGTCTTCGACTCGTTGATCGCAGGCTGCATTCCTGTGTTGTTCCATCCAGCAACTGCTTACCTCCAATATGCCTGGCACTTGCCTCGGAATGAATCTTCGTGGTCCGTGTATATATCTGAGGACGAAGTGAGGGAGGGACGGGTTAATGCTGTAGACGTCCTGAAAAAGATTTCTACTGCTGAGATGGATGCAATGCGGGAGACGATTTTGAACACGGTGATTCCAGGTTTGCTTTACAGCGCGCCTGGCAGTGATGTCTCCCCTTACAAGGATGCCTTTGACATAACAATTGAGCAGCTCTTACATCACACTGCTCACCTTCCTGACTCAGAGGAGTTTGCGAAGGTTTGAGGCGCAATTTTGAGTTAGTTCTTTAAAAGGACTCAACCACTGTCCTGCCCGCAATTACGTAGCTATGTGAGTATTGATCACCCGATGAAATTCGGGTCCATCAGGTAGATGAGTCTGCAGCTCTCCAAACAGAATTTGAGGAAATTATACACAGCTGCTGGCCGAGGATGTTTGAAGCATCTTTTGAGCCGTTAGAGTTGATCCTGGAAAGCTCTCAATGCTGCTACCAGCTGACTACCTCCTAGTATGATAACCAACAGCCTAATTTCGCTGTGGCAATGACTAGAAGGCCAATTTCCAGCTGCAAACCTTCGACATAATATTGAAATTACTGACAATTCTTGCACGCTGGAACCTTCAATATTTTCGTGATGAATGGACATGGCAATCGTGTGTGCAGATTCAGCATCAATTTATTCTTTACATGTTGTGACGGTTATTCTTGGTTCCACTTCCTGTGTATGTTAAATGGCCTAATAGTCTATCTTTTATCCCGCTTCGAGAGGATGGCGGAGAGAAATTACATTTTTGAATGACCTGGAAGAAAATGTGAACTGCACAATGTATCTTCTCAATACCAACTTCATTAAACGAAGAAGTAGCATCGATGCATATTAATTCTTATCAAGACAGCACGCAGTATTCACATCTCCTTACACACTACGTACTCAATTATGTTGCACCACAGGATTTTCTCACTAAGTACACACAGGCAAAACTGCCCAGCTTAGCAACTTAGACATCAGTACTAGATCACTCAATGTCCTTAGCTCTCTGTGCAGTATTCATCGTAATTGTACAGTAATTAATACCCACTTCCATTACTTGTTTTCTGACTAGGAAGAACTTCTACCTCGTGGAATTAGGACAACACCCGATAACATGTCTTTCACTCACAGTATAGTACTTTCAAACCAGGGTTTCAAAGCGTTCAAGTTTGGATTTCTGGAAGTAATTCTGTCTGTGAATCACAAGTTTTGGATCTTCAAGGTCACATCCTTGAACATGCTCTTGCTCTATATCACCGCAAAAATGGTTGTGAGCAACAATGACAATTGAGACTTCTTTGGAAAAGTGCCCACTTCTTTCGTCACATGCTAATTTGCAGTACTTTATATAAACTTTTGCCACTGAAGAACAAACTCCGATGATATCGAACGTAAACAACTTTGATGATGAATACGCCGTGCACATAGTATCATGAAGCAACACTTCAAACAGTATGTAAAGTTCAATGGCAACAGTGGGACTTAGAACTATTTTGGACAGAATTTTTTAGATGGGTGGGTACGAGATATGGCTCAGTAAAAATACGGATCTCGGAAAACCGGTCGCAGCTCTCCTCATTTTTGCCACCTCTAGAGAGGAGATCAGAATTGGTTAAGATTAGTTCTAACTTGTTTAGGAATTTTCATTTTTATTTTTTAATGATTAATATAGGGTTTCAAAGTTTTCAATAAAAATGGGATTATATGCTGATTGCATGAAGGAATAGGGGCACTAAAAATAATAAAGATTCTCATTTGGATTATATTACAAGGATTCTTTGATGAATTTGTAGAAGTTGCCTTGTAAGTAGTACTAAGTCTAGGGCAAGATTTAGGTTCTAATTAAGATAATATAAAATTAAAAATAATTAGGTTTTTTCTTGCTTTGAGTTCAATAGATAGGTGGGAAGTTGAGATGCAAGTAACTAATTCTATTACATGCAAACACAAATCCATCTAAATTGATTGTAACAATCTTTCTATTAGATGTAAATTGTTCATTTATACTAATTAAAAAATCAAACTACATAAAATTGGAGGAATTTAAGCAAAAAATTTAACATAGGACAAAAGAAAAAGAAAAAACAAATAAGATTATGAGGGAAAACAAAGAGAACCAACTATGTTGAATTACAATAGGATAGAAAAAAAATAGTCATTGAGCTTAAGTAAAAATTGGATCCAAGTAGACAAACAAGGTGAGAAATATAAAAGTATTATTGATGCATATGGCTTCAATGTAGTAGAATCACATTGTAAGCAAAACAAAGACCAAGACATAAAAAGGGACAATTTATCATATACAACCTTTGAATTGTTTCAAAGGTTAAAAGTATTGTTTATAAGATATAAGCATATATTCTAAAAGATGAAACTTTTTCTAAAATATTTATATAATTTATTTAATTCTAAAAACTATATTATAAGAATAAAATCCACATCAAGAAACATAAATAATATAGAAATAAAAAGCTAAGTAAAAGTACTCTAATTTAACTTCCAAAAAAATCTCTAAGACTTTAGGTTTTAATAAACTCTCATGATGGCTCAATAGAAATTAATAAACTATCAATATCAAAATATAGAAGGTCAAAATTTATAAGCTAGAATCAATTAGAAAATACAAGGCAATATGTGATTTAATACTATCTTCAAAGAAATCATAGAAAGAAATCTAAAAGCTAGAATCATCTTGCTTTAAGATCCATATAGCAACCAAATAAAAAAATAAGAACAATTAGAAAGAACATACAAGGAATTTTATGCTAATCTATATGGAAGATTTATTTCTATTCAAATAAATATTAATTTATTCAACACAATGGTAAGTAAAATTCTATCCAAAGTTATTCAAAATATAATTGTAAATTCCTTCAAATCCATAACTATTCTTATATAATTTTATTTCTATTATATTTAAAAAAAAATGTATTATTATACAAGGAGGTAGAAAAAACCAATTACTTCTCCATTAAGAGAGAGGTAAGACAAGGGTGCCTTGTATATATATATATCATTTGTTTTTAGTAGAAGAGGCATCAAACTATGCAATTCAATTTGCAATTGAGGTTAAAAGACTAAAAGATATTAAGCTACCAAAATGCAATGAACAACTAGCATTAAATCAATAGGCAAACAACTCTACCTCAATAACACATGGAGATAAAGATTTGTAAATTATTAATTCAATTATTTAACCTAAAAGAGTTGCAATCTTCTATTGTAAGAGGTGAAACAAGTCTATAACATCTACCACTATGACCTACAATTCTTCTTTACTAAAGAAGAAACAAAAAATAAAAAATAAAAAAATAGAAGATATATTATATTAAAAAATATAAAATTGTCTTTTATATTAAATGACAAAAAAGTCTGAAGTATGGAAGGATCAACTCCTAACCAAAAGCTTGGATAGGTTTATATAGATCAAAAGAAAATATCAACTCAATTGTAATCTTTTGACTTCAAGGACTAATACAAGACATCAATGAAGGTAAATGGTTTATATTCCTTAGACCATTTACAACCCTAGTGTATCAAGTTGGTATTCAATCAAGAATTTAACATTTTGATGGAAATCTATCTATAGCACAGGCACAAAGTCAAGTAAACACAGAAAAAGTCTGCAACACATGATTGTAAAACTTGTCAAAGCAATAGGGATTTCCAAAGTTTCCAATTTCAAAGTAGAAAGAGAAGACACTTATAGACTATTTTGTGACCTGGTAGACAAAATTCTCTGATTCACTCTCTTACTCAAGGAACAGAAGCTCCAACATATTCCCTTATTCTGCAAAATTTGGAAGGCAACACTTAATTCAACCTAACTTCTAGTTTGATTAGAAAATTACAGGATGCGAACTCAAGGCCTAAATATTAGCCAAAAACTTGGAGGAGAAACTCCTCGTTTTCTAAAGAAGACTTATATCATGGATTGTCAGGGACATGTCCTTCAATTTATATCCCTAAATCACACTAAAGAGAAGTCTGTATGTCCAGTTAGTTTTATGTTTTAAAGAGGGTAATAGTCACTAGATGATCCAGTGCAGTAAGTTCCTATTTTGCACAAAAGTCAATTGAATAAAATCTGATCCATTTCTTCTAGCATCAAAGAGCATCAAATTGAGGTACCTTCAGAAATTATTAGGACATCATGAAACACTCTTGTTAGGTTATTTAATCGACTCAAAACCTTTTACTGCCTTTGTTCAATTAGCCTGTAAGCGCACAAGAGTCCCGGTAGAAGCTATGCATACTGACGCTGAAATTTCATGCTTGATACCTCCACTGGGGTGATCTATCCACACTAGCCAAATTATTTAGAAGTTTGCGTTTACTTAGCACAGTTGCCTCTAGACACCTTAAAGCCTTCAAGTTCTTGGAAACTAACTGGCCGAAGAGGTTGAGTAGAAGAATATGCGAACCTCTCAGGTCTCAGAGAAAAAATGTCGCGATTTTAGCTCTAAACTTATATAATGAAGCCACTAATGATCCTGGTTGAATGGGCATTACCAGTTCCAAAGTACAATCCTAGAAAATTCGGCCTTGCAAATCAAATATATTACAGGAAGCGTGCATTCTAATTTACACGCTTCCACTCTAGATTTCTATCTCATAACACACTTGCACAATATCTCATAACAGCTATCCTATGATGTCAGCTTACAGTTCTCTACACAAGTATGAAACTCTGCACGAAGACTACATGACTGATGGGGTAGCATAAAATTGAAGTATCAGACTTCAGCATCGCACACGTTATGGAGATAACATTGCGTCGGTCACACAAGATCTCTGCCTGAGTGACGAGGAGAACCTGCTTCACTACCCTCAGCTCTCTTCTCCCGCAATTTCTCCAGAACACTGCGGCGCCTTTCATCGAGTTTGTTCCCCACTTTCTTACCCAAAGTAAACATCTTGGTGCGTCGTGATACCCTTGAATCCAAATCTTTTGACAGGTCTGCCTTGACGTGGTCCTGGTTGATAACCTGAAACTGTAACAAAAAGTAGTCTCGGGATCAGTGCCATACCAGGAAGTCGACATAGGAAATGAAAGAGAACCTAAAATGAACTAACCAATAATAGAAACTGAAAGGCAGACTGGTAACGGAATACATGCTAAAACTCGCAGTTGATCAGTAGCTAGGAAATTAACCTGATTGGGCGGATGCTGAGACTCGCTGTCTGACGCTGAATCCTCTGACTGTGGCGCTACATCAATGTACACAGCACCTACCGCCCTCTCAGATGCACCTGCGTCAAATCCATTACTCGATGCTGAAATCTTTCCTTTGTTTTGGTCATCCCTGTCCAGTAAAGGCCTCGTTAAGTCTGATTCATTGTCAACTCGCATTGACGAAGTCGCTGATGAATGCACGGATGATCCTGGTGGCCGGCTAGGTAAAGAATGCTCTGAGCTGAACTGTATAGAGATGGAAGAGTTTTGTAATTGATTCCTACTTGTACCAGAGGCTTGAAGATTGCCAAGGGACCGAAGATCAGAAGGAGGCTGGGCCTGCGCAATAGGTGATCCATCTACAGGTCCAACATGAGGTGAGCTAGATGCCTCCGAAACCTGTCCAACCTGAAGCTTATTCTGCCCATCACTGTGTACACTCAGAGAGGAGGAAGTAGATGATTGGCCAATTCCATCGTTATCCTCAACAAGTTTAGATTGCTCGTCAAGCTTGAATTTTGAGCTTTGACGCTCATTTTCAGAATGTTTGGCAGCAGAGAACGCAACAGGAATGGCGCTATGCGGAAGCCAATCGACCTGATCAGCCATCATCCAATGAAGACGAACATCTTGACGGTATGGCATGACAATATGCTCACGAATTTGTGTCTGCATGTAGCAAAGGATTAAAATAAATATAAATAGATATAAATAAAATTCAAGAATTGAACAAATCGCAATGGTTATGAATGTGACTATGTCGCCGTTAAGCATATACTGAACTAACAATCGTACTCAACTGAACATGCTGTAACAAAACTCGCTGATCAAATAGTGAACTGTTCTTCTATATATCATGTAAACCCGCTGTTAAAAACGGATTGGTTATGCACTCAACAAAACAATCACTAAGAACGATCGCTACTTTCCTTCATCATAATGGCTTGAAGAGATATGAGGAAGATACAGTCGACTTTAGTGCGGGAGTAAAAATACAGAAAGGCTCGAGTGATACCTTTATTTGATTTGTAATAAAATTTCCCAAAAAGTCGTTGCTGATAAGGTGATCACCAATACAAGGCTCTGGTACCATATCAATATCAGGCATGTCCTTGAAAGAAAACCATATACGGTCAGAAGGTGGTGCTTTCAAGCTTATGATGCAAGTTCCCTTCACTGACATCAACCTGATTTTCAGCAAAAGAGGTACCTGCAGTTGACTCCGAATTACAGTGAATCAGAAATGCTCAAAGACCCTTGCAAGAATGATGCACAAGTTAATCCTGCATTGTCTAATAAAAAACATGCAGGCGCAAGCGATGATGAAAGGTGCTGGAAATAGAACGCTGTCAACCTGAGAAACTTGATCAGCAACACGAGAGATCACGGCCTTCACCGAATGCATCCAACCTCCACCTTTACCGCTGTCATCCCCTGCCAAAATATAGCAGGATCTCTAGCGATCATTAAAAGCTCACATTAGTCAGTCATGCCCTGGCTTCTACTATATTTCCAGATTCTCTACAATAGTAAAATACGGTATCCTCGGGGAATTTGCATGAGAAACGTTTGCATTTCAACAAAGAAGTTGTGATACCTGGCCCACGTTTACTTGTAGAAGCAGCTTCTCTTGTCTCTGTTGACGTTATAGAAGCCTCTGCTGTTCCTGCAGGGTCAAGATCCTTCTCTATACCGCGTACAACAGCAGAAGCAGCAGCCCCTTCTAATCCTGGATCCGTCAGTTGTGAAACCATTTTTTCCTGTGCATTTTGATCACGCACGTCCACTCGCGTCTCTATTGTGATGAAGCCTCCACTGCGCCACTCCAAGCTAACTTCAATAGCCAAAGCTCCTTCTGCATCCGCGGGCAGCAGACGGAATGCTGTCACGAAAGGAGGTTCTTTTCCGAGGTCGATTTCTCTAACAAAAAGTGATTTGACGTAACTGGGAGTCTTCATCCTTGATATTAACCTCTGATGAGTTGCACAAGCCAGGGTAAGATTGACTATCGATTATCAGGTACAGCGACCTCCTAAGCAAGAACATTCCACAGTTTTTCAGACAATATAGTAGTATAACTTGCCTGAAGTTGGTGTTGTAACCAGTCCACTGGCCTTTTGCTATGATATAAGTCAAAAAAGAGTCTAGCCACGAGCATGTTCAAACAGAGTTGTCCTTGATCAATCTCTTTTGAAACTGTTTTGTTGTCATGGCCGTGCACCAGTGTAGCTGTGAGCACCTGATCAACTTCTTTTTTGTCTTCCTGAGTTGCTGCTGAGGTCGACTGCTCTACATCACACTCACTAATTGTAGATTCACTTCGAGTAATACTTTCAATGCTCGCTTGGCTTGCATGAGACGCACTATTTCCGTCATCGTGGTCATGAGAGATAACACTCTCCTTCAACTTCTGGCTTCCTTCTTGCCCTTCTGAAATTGGATTGATTCTTCGTGAGGACGTTTCAAGTCCCCTTATTGCATTCAGACTCTTCTCTTTCGTCTTTGTACCACGACGCAAAAGTTTGTTGAAAATCAGTCGTCTCTTCGAAAAACCTTCCTCTGAGTTCTTCAAGCCATCTAACTTCATTTCCTTGCGTATGAAGGCCATAGAATTTGCTTCATTTCCTGAGGGAAATTCATTCAGATACGGCAGACGCCTTTCAACTACACTAGTGTATTCTCTAAATTCCTTCTTCAATTTAATATACCACTCGTCAGGAGTGGCGTTTTCCCTTGCAGTCGCTCGAAGAACTTCGCACCAGGCTTCCTTCTCATAGCCAGATTCCGCGTAGAACAAACAGTCTTTACAATCGCCGTACAATGTATGGGTAGGATGGTGCAACTTGATGGGAAACATTTTGGACCTATATCCACGTTTTCATGCCAAAAATAATCACAAGTTATATTCTTACAAAGGCATATGCGGAGATACTGAAAGTCCGTGAGGTGTAGCAATGGCGCAATACAGCAGGAGGTGGAGGATCATTCATCACTGAGACATAGAACATCTCGTCCCTTGCCTTAAGCATCAAGACCGAAATAAAAAAAAAAGTTGAATTCAACAGTCCAGAACACAAGAGGTAAGAAAAGCTCTTTAGCACGTACCATTTCCCATTTGAAGTTTGATCATAAGAGATGGACGAAACTTCGCAGCCTTCAAGTGGGATTTGCTCTTCATTACCATCAACCTCCCTCAACAGCAAAATCCCTTCCTTCAAGACCACGTGCTTCCGCACCGGAGCGAGCTTCAATACATTTTTAGTGGTACCCGCCCGGTTAGAACCCTCTTTGGGCCCATCTCTCTCAGCTTCTTTCTCCCTCTTCTTGTCTTTGCCTGGCATTTGCAAAATGGCTTTACTCCAGTCTCCTTCAGGTAGAGGTGCAAACCACAAAGTTCCCTGTCGGATAGTCACTTTTCATCTCAGAATAAGACCTTGATAAGTCCATCTGATATTAAAGAGTTACATTGAACACTTTTCCACTTGGGAGAATTTTAATAACTAAACACTTGAGAGGGATGACAAATTCACCATTCATTGTACAGATGTTCTGTCAGCCATAGGAAACGATAACTACATGAAATAACTATTGATTTTCAAAGAACAGAGGAATTGCACTTTTTCCGATCAAACAGAAATGATGAGTGCGATTAGAAAGCCAAGCTAGAGACTAGGATTTTTGATACGAAGACATTATAACCCAGAATGTCTGTCAACTTGCATTCTCAAAAAACACATTCAATGTCAGAGTAAGAAAGACGAGACCTGAAGGCTGAAGCTGCTGTCGTAGGAGCCACCTTCACTTCTATATTCCAATGAAGAAGGACTCGGATTTTGCGTCGGTTTCCTCTCCAACAATCTGCGGATTAAAAAAAATACGCACACACACTCTACAAGCGCTAACAGCAAAATTCCCCCAAAGAAATAGGGCAAGCAACCGAATGTACTACAACAGTTCGGTGCGGTCATACTCGGCAGCGACACCAACGCCGCGGATACATCGACTAAACCCTCCATCTGCACGATGCTCTTAAAACCTCGGTTAGGCCCCGTGATGTGAGGGAACAGATGCAGTGGCACTAATCCGATATGGCATCAAGCGCATAAAACATCGTTCCACATCGACGCCACTCTTTCAAGCTGCGTATCTTGACTCTCTAACCCTAAACGTCCCGGATAAACCTTGTACCTCTCGTTTACCAAAATCAACACTAGACTGGAGTCCAACTTCTCAATTCGGAGACGCGTCATGGAGCAATCCCCACATTTCCAATTCGACACAGCAGCGCCTCAATCACACAATTTAGCGGCACTACCAGTGATGTTCTCAGCTAGACTTCCAGCTCGAACCTACACAATGCTGTCTTAAACACTGCCAAAGAAACCCATTATTTAGACCACAACAAACCACCCATTAACGAAATCCACACAAAACATCCTAACAATCTCAGCAGCTGGACACTGCAACTGAACAAACCCACAGATCCATACATGGGAATCACCGACCTCTAACTGCAGATCAACCAAGTGAAACGCCCAGGCTCTCGATTTGAAGTCAAACATATATTCTGATTCGGAATTAAACTGAGTGCGAGCTTGCCATCAACGTAACAACAATCCAACCGAATCTGCTCAAATTCACCTCCGCGAATAGCCACAACGGAATCCAACATCAAGTTCAGTTCACACACCGACAACCAGATCTCCGACAGCTCGAACCCACATCAAATTCCGCGAAGGATTCGCTCCAAAGACCCCAACCCAGACCGGTTCGATTCAAGGTGTGCGCAAATTCAAATCGATGCGAGCTGCGGAGCAATCTCCACGACCCACTTTTGCCTCAGGCATCCTCCACGCTGCCCAACCTCGTCAACAGGAAACATAAACAAACGATTCCGTCTGCACTGAAGCGGGACGAAAAGTTCGGTTCAATCGATCAAACCACGACCGGCGACTCGCTGATTTGTCACCTCCGTTGCTCATCCATTACAAACCTTGGTAATTTCCTGTATGAAAGTGAGAGTTGTAATGGTAAATTAAGCATTGGGTTTAGTTGGATTGACACTAATTTAACGAATTATACACCGCCCATTGACAGTGTGGCAGCAGGTTCGAGGGAATCTGGTTGCGGCCACTCCGGCCACCGACACCGTGGAAGTTCACATTTACTGTCGGAGCTCACGCCACGTGGACGGATTTCATTGAGCCGTGGGATTTACTTCGGAGGAACGTTGTTGGGACAAAACTTTTTACTAACCATGAATGCAATTTACATTTTTGCTTTTCTAATAGAATTTCTTCGTCTCTACTTCAATGGAATTTGAGAATTGCTTCGTCTCTGTTGAGAGCATTAAATGTAGCCGACACTCTCCATAATATTTATTGTAGACTACAATAAATACTGTAGCTATAGCATTTGGAATGTAGTGGAGAAGAACTATTTGTCCTCTCTCCTTTCTCCTCTTGTATACAAGATACAACTAGATCAATAGATTTTTTATGTATGAAGTTCTCTCTCTTTAGAAACCCTCATGTGTGTATTACTTACTATTACTCTTGTGTGTGTATATATATTACTTACTACTACTCTTGTGTCTTTTTAAACATTCTCAATACATTATCAGCACAACTCTCTTCTACACACTATCACAATTCTTTTTGCTCTAGTCTTGACTATTCAAACCTGTTGCTACTCTTGCTCATTGTCTACCTCATGATCTTGCTGCACTTCTTGCTGGCCCCTCACACATTAGCTGCTTGCTTAGAGCACTTGCTCCACTCTTTGCCTTGCTTGCTTAGAATACTTGCTCCAGCCCAACTTCCCTAATGTGCCCTGCGCTTACTGCCAAACTATAGCCGGACTGCCATTGATTGTTGCTGTCACTAATTGTCGACTACCACCACTCCAGCCATTGTTGCTAACCACCAACTACCATTGATCCTAATGTTGCTGCCGTCCTACTGCTACTCTGTTGCTACAATCCACACCCTTGTTAAAAAAATAACAATAATAATAATAAAATAAAATTTTTGATTTTCAAGTTCAAATTTATCATTTTATTTGACTTTATATTTTAAGGTACATTTTACTCAACTTTTCTACTTCATCTTGTATTTTTTTCACATATTTATTTATAATGAGTGCTTCAACATCTTCAATTACTTCTACTATGGTTCCAATTATTACCAATGCATCCCAACATTTTCAAGCTCTTTTATTTCTACCATTAACTATGGATGGAAATAATTATCTATTATGGGCAAAAATGGCAAAAACAAATTTATTTGAAGAACAACTCTCGGATGCCATTATGTTTGAAGAATCTCTTGTAATAAATATTTCTATTCTTCCTACTATTCGTTGGAAAGCACTTCTTCTCCTTCGTCTTCATCTTTTATTTGCATTACAACAACAATATTTAGAAATGGAAGATTTTGCAGAACTTTGGAAGAATCATAATTCCAAGTTTGATCATTAAAAGACCATTTTTCTTCTACGTACACGTCATAATTGGAAACATTTAAGTGTCTTGGATTTTTCAAATTTAAATGCTTTCAATAGTAAAATGTATAGTATTGTCTCACAATTACGATTATGTAGACAAAGCATCTCTGAAGAAAAAATGATTGAGAAAACTCTCTCTACATTTCCTCATGTATATGATGTACTAGCGTAACAATATAGGAACATGAAATTTCAGAGTCATTCTAATCTCATATCCTATCTACTTCTTGTAGAGAAGCAAAATGAACTATTCTTGTCGAATGCGGAAGCTCATCCTATTGGAACTGCAGTTCCAGAATCTCATGCACTTAATATTTCAAAGTCTAAAAAAAAATTATATAAACATGGGAAACGTGCTCATAAGTATCAGGGTAGTCATAGTCATGACCATTTCTATTCATATGTAAAGAATAAACGTTCTATAATTAATTATAGTAAAAAAAATAAAAAAATAAAAAATCAAAGATGCGTTCTTGCCATAAGTGTAGAATGATTGGACATTTAGCACATGCGTGCTGTATTTCAGAATATTTTATTAAAATATTCCAAGAAAATAAGAAACTACGAGCTGAGGCTCGTGAAGTTCATACCATGGATGCGTCGATGGATTCAATTGGTGTTGATGACTTAGAAGTTTATATGAATGACAAAACCTCTAATGATGAATCAAATGATATGCTCATTGATTGTGCAACAACATATATTAACTTGCGAGATAGACAATTTTTTATTAAAAAATCTTTAACTTGGTAAACTAATAATATGATGACCATGGCTAGAACAAATGCGTTTTGTTTCTAAGAAGGCATAGCAATGGTAAAATTATCTGCAAGTTCCATCAAAAAATGTAAATACGAGATGTTTACACCCTTAGCACCTCAGAGTCTGATTAGCTACCAAGATGTGTGTATTAATGGTTATCACCTCTCGACTGCCATTTTAAATAGAAAAGAGATTTTAATTCTTGCAAAGAATCATAAAATTGTTGAAAAAGCTTTTACTACATATAATGGTTTATACCAAATTACGATTTGGCCTTCCATTATATTTAATTTTACATCATCTATCATAGAGAGTTCATTATTATCAATTTTTATGTTGTGATACCTGATATATAGGATAATCAGGAAAATATGTTTTGGGCACATTTTCCTGATTATCCTATAAAAACATTGCGTATAGATAATGCAAAAGAATTCACATTAAAGTCTTTTGAAGACTATTGTATTGCAACAGGAATTGAGTTGACATATTATGTTCCATATGAACATACTCAAAATGGACTGGCAAAGTCATTTATAAAGCATATAAAACTCATTACTCGACCACTCCTCCTTCACGTAAATTTACCTATATCTATGTGGGATTGTGCAGTTTTATATGCTGCAGCATTAATATGCATCCGCCTTTCTTCTCTTGAAATTGTTTCATTACATGAGCTCATTTCAGGTTGTGTTCCAAATGCATCTCACTTACAAGTATTTGGTTGCCGTGCTTGGATTCCAGTACCAGAACCTCAATGGCATACCATTGGAGTTCATCGACAAGAAGGCATATATGTTGGTTTTGATTCACCAAGCATTATTCGTATTGTTGATCCATTAACTGGCACATTATTACATGCATGTTTGCAAAATTGCCATTTTGAAGAAAATATATTCCCATCTCTTTAAAGAAGAGTATCCAATCAACAAATAAATAAAGTACTTCTATTTGAAGCACCAAAAATGTTTATAATGAATCCCAATCCTAGGATATCTTTGGCTGAAACTGAAGTTGGTAAGTTTTTGCATCTAAAACGGATCATAGATAAAACACCTGATGGCTTCAATGATGCACCTAGAATTACAAGAGTTCTTATTAATGAGGCTCAAAATACACCTGATGGCTTCAATAATGCACCTAGAATTACAAGAGTTCATATTAATGAGGCTCAAAATACACCTGATGGCTTTAATGATGCACCTAGAATTACAAGAGTTCCTATTAATGAGGCTCAAAATAAACCTACTCAGATTACAGTGCCACTGACTATTATACCTCAAGTTATAACAACAACAATTAAAAGAACTCGTGGACCAAATAAGCAACCATGTAAGAAGAAAGCTATAATATTGACTAATCTTGGTATTATTTCTCAAGAAATTTTCACTCATCCTAAAGGACCACCAATTTATGATGATATATCCATGCATAATATACTTTCAATTCTTATGAAAAACAATCTTTGAATTGGAAGGAATAAGAACAAGTTGAGTAAAGAATTATCTATTCTATATTGTGTTATAGCTAATATTGTCATGAACATACTCATGTAAGCTAGTAATTACATATACAAATAGGTGGATGTAAGTAAAAGTAGGTAAAAATAAGTTAATTCTATAGTATTTAATATGGATGCTTCTTAGAAGCTTCATAGATGCTGCTTTGACTTCATAGGTGTCTTTAATTGATTTTTTGGATTAGAAACGTGGTCATTACATTGGCCATGTGCCACACATGTTGTTAGCTTGAAGATCAAGCTAACTATGTGGCCCACACGTAGAAAAACTTGCCTTGTAAGTCAAGGCATGTGTCCTATAAAGTCAATACATATTGGAGGTCCTATAGAACATCACCACGTAGCCCTTAGTTAGATAGTATATATAGAGACAAGAATGAAGCCCTCTTCACTCTTGTCAACTCTTTTTTTGCTTCTAGTCTAGTTTCAAGGGTCTCTAGTTTTCTTGTCTTTTGGCAATAGCCATTCTAGTTTCTTTTTCAATATACATACTTGTTTATTTATATTTTGTTACCTTTCTTTGAGTGAAGGCTCACTTGTCTGAATTTCTTTTTTATCGAGTTCTTGTCCTTGATAGATTGACAAGAGTACACCTACAATATCAGAGCTTTGTCTAATCTTGATTAAGAGTTAGTTACCTCTTTTTCTTGATAAGATATAAGCATATTAGAAGTTGCGGATTACCCTCTTCTAAACTGATATTGTCCTTAGTATTTTCTTTGTTCTCAAGTCCTCTCTTCTATTTGTCTCGAGCAATATTAGACATCTTCTCTTTTCTAAGTGTTATCATGGCAGAACTTCTTGAAATGAAGAGTGCAATGGCACAAATGCAAGAGCAATTGAGAGAGTTAATGCTTGCGATGTATCAACTCAATTTACGACCACAAGCAGCAATAAGATTGGCAGGAAGTGAAGATATAGAAATGGTTGGAGCTGCTTCAACATCTGCACAAAATCATGTCCTTTCTCCTATGGTAGAACGCCCTTCCAGTATTAGAGAACCAAAAATTGTCCTACTCGAGAAGTTTGATGGCACCAGATCCAAGTTTTGAGGATTTATCAATCAAGTACAACTTGTGATTGAACTTCAATCTCAAAGCTATCCAACTCCACGATCGCAAGTTAGATTCATTGGTATGCTTCTTTTAGGTTCAGTACTATCGTGGTTTTCATCTTTTCTTGAACGACGAGATCCAATATTAGATAATCTAGAGGCT